AATGGCCAACCCTATGTCGTCGACTCTAGAAAGAGGGCGAAAACACCGCCATCCATTGTCGGCCTACATTCTCGCCCTCCTCTTCTTGATCCTCCTCCTCCTCCTCCTCCTCCTCGTCCTCCTCGTCCTCCTCCTCCTCCGCCTCCGCCTCCGCCTCGTCCTCGTCCTCCTCGTCCTCCTCCTCCCCCACTTCTGTATCATCTCTCCCGCGGATGGGCTTTCGATGACGTCGAACAGAACGAGGACGTAGCACCATGCAGAACAACGACGGGGGGGGGATTCATGGTAATACATACCGTATATTGACCTCGCATCCCTACAAAGCCGGGAGGGAGCACGCCGGGTTCTCACCGGACCAGGCTCTCACATCCCAAGCCCATAGCGCCGTGAAGGATTCGGCGAGTCGCATGGAGGGTGCGCTGCATCCTCCTAAGGGTGTCGGCATCTTGTGCTTACTTCCTTGCATACGAGTGACAGCTGCGAATGACTTAATATATTCTCTGGTGCTTTCCAGAGACAGTTATAAACAGTGTGTGGCTGCCTCGAGGGTGCTTGGACCAACGTACCACAACGTGGTGCGATCATCCCCTTTCCACGGAGTGAGGACTCTCGACCTCGCACAACAAAATCTTCTCGACCACCATTATGGTTACCGCAAAAAAAAAAAATGGCAAAAAATAAATTGTACCCTGGTTGCCGAGCTCACGAAGTGACCGGCTTGTTTTACAATGTCGTCGCCAAGCGACTAAACCCCAACCCCGATGGTGGGCAAGGGGCAGAACAACGAAGGGAGGTAATTACGTATCCCAACCTTTTCACCGGCGGTGAAAGGAGGAGCCGGGCCTAGGTCATCGTTCTTGGGAAGCAAGGATTACCACGTCTTCAGGTGGCGCTTCCATCCGGACGTGGGCATACAATTCAAACTTTCCTCCACCAAGAAAGGTCGAAACGCGCGTAGCATCCAATGTCACGAAAGGCTTACCTCGACCGCCACAGGAACATCGTCATGCTCAACGTCTGAAATGAAAGGTGTCATCGCGTCTGTGTGCAGAATGGCATAAAAGGTCAAAGGCAACGTCGGTTCAAAGTTTGTTCAGACTTCGGCTTGGGATCATGCATGCAACAACACCGAGAACATCGACCCTCCTTGCAGGTTCAATAGCGAAGTATGTCGCACACGTGCCTAGTCTACTTTGTGGGTACGACAGGTTTTGTTTGTTCGGTGTTCCTCTGGGCACGTATCGCGTGTCCCTTGGTGTCGAAGCTCCTACAACACACCTTGGCAGGTATGTGTCGGCAAGTGGCATGGCCAGTGCCAGGTGTAAAACGCGGTGGTGAACACACCCCGGTCTAGTGGAGGGACAAAGATGCAATCGTGGGAGATTGTTGGTCGTCATTTGAGATATTTGGTTGTTGTAGGTTGTCCCGTTATCGGTCTCGCGTGTCGATGGCAGCAGTCGGATCAATACGCCAATTTTCATCTCCTTTGTCCGGCACGTCACCCGCTGCGAAGCCACTGTTTAGGGGCCTTCTTCCGGCTTGGAATTTTGTCAAGTTTCGTTGATATTTCTGGGTCGTTGTGTAGTCTTGGATGTCCCATGGTACACACGGTACCCGTTGTCGGTAGATTGCCCGGGACCACGTATGGCGTCGGCCTCAGTCGAGCAGAAAATAAGTTAGAAGAGACTGAGCAGAGATCGGAAATGTTATTGAAGACAACAAAGCGATGTTCATTCCACGCCTGTCATCCCAAACCTCATTGTACTCTCCCGACCTTACTCTCACCTTCGTACTCGCTCCCGCTATCTCTACCAGTCAGCGTTCGCCGGAACGAGTTAATGGAAACAACAGGGGACAAATTGGTGATGAAAGGGTCAACAACAGTACGCGCTCGTGTCCAAAATTGCCGTCTCTCTCATATTCTTGAAATGGCATATGTGGATAAACCAAGATCTAGCAGGTGTGGTGAACGGACAGCAATTGCTAGTCGCCGGCGATAGAGTTCGTACAAACGGTCCTTTCACCGAAAAGATACTTCCGCAATGTCAGGTTTCATGGAGTTCTCCTCTCAAGGCGAACTTCCATCATCAGTCGGCATACGCACCTCTTGTGTCCGACCGATGAGCACCAAAGGGAGGGGTGGAAGTGGGATATATACCATGTATCATCGAGACTTAACAATAAACCCTTAAGAATAGCAACTTCCCGCTGTCCACCCCCTCACCCTAGTGCGGACTCCATACTCAAACACCTTTGTCTCGCACTCCCGTTCACCTTTCAGCGTAGTTGGGTCGCCGGTTGCCAGCTGTCCGTTCGCTCTACCGGCGGGGGGGCTCGGCTGTACCCCCGAGCTTGCGTTTTCCTCGCCTTAGCTGCAGAAAGTCACCCCACAACTGCAAATGATGGGTCTCGTTGACGCCGCAGAAACCATGCCCAAAAGGTGACTCTGGAGCTACACGAAAATATCCGATCCACCAGAAAATCGTATACAGTTCAGTCACCCACGGTATTGACACCCAAAGGTGGAGATGTATCTCAACACTGTACTAAGACGACCCTCAGAGAGAACACAAAATGCTTCCGAGCGACGGACGGAGTCTACCATGCCCTAAACTGGCCAGAACGGGATGGATCTATCCCGGTGCACAAAGGTGTAGCCCTCATCGAATCGAGAAAAACGACCATTCCCAACGCAGGTCTTACCGATCATATTGCAAGCGTTCGTTGAGCGTCAGCAGATGAGCAAGACGAAAACTCTCTCCACAGGCTAGCAGTTCGGTGCGACAAGCATCAAATACGTCTACTCTACACCTACACATGAACGCTAGCTGCCTACATGCTCTTCGTGATCCTCCTGCTCCTCCTCGCCCTCGTCTTCCTGTTGCTCCTCCTCCCGCTGCTCCTCCCTCTCGCCGCGCTCGTTCTCCTCCTCTTCCTTATCGTCTCCGCCATCGATCCCGAGAGTGGCTTGCTCATAGTATCCAACAAAAACGGTCAGCGCATGATGTGCTAGCAAAAACGGCGATTGAGCAATGTGCCACAACGCAGCAGGCGGGCAGCGCGGGGGAAGCTTACGATTCCATTCTAGTTCGTGTTGTAGCTCGAGAGTCTCCAAAGCCCCCAAGGGTAAAAAAGCGTTTTTCCGGCTCGGAGCAGCGTCGTATCAGCCTACGCTGGTCGAACAGCGGCGGGTTGAATCAGTAACTGCTTGGCATGACAAGGTGGTTGGCGAAAGAGTTACAGAGAGCTGCGACGGCCCATGTCAAGCACAAGTATGACCTTCTGACGTGTGCGGGGGTAGCATATCCTCTGCCAAACCCACATGAACGGACTTGCAAGTGAATATTATGAACATCGAAACCAGCTCCGCATTTTCCATGCGACTGCATGAAGACGTTGAGCAGGCACGCGGGTCGTCCAGACCACCAGCTCATTGTAACCCGAACACAAACAAACAACATCACTCGCGTCTATGCACCCTGGGATACACACCTCGGCTTCCTTTTGCCTCTCCTGGTCGGCGCTTCGAAAATCAGCGTTTCCAACCTCTGAAGTCACATCGTCGTCGCGTGATGACTCGTGTTCCTTTTCTGTAGCTTCGATGTCGTGCTGTGAGAAGTTTTGCTGCTCTTCACTTTCCGACATGTCTGATTCGCCGGTCTGCTGGACGGAGATCCGACAGGGGTGAAAGCAATTCACGCGGCGGAACGAGACGGTGTGCGTAGCCGCAGGTTAGTGGAGATACTCGATGCTCTGCATCCTGATTCCTCTTCCACGCGTACGTGGCAGGTGAGTGGAGAAAGCTGACTGATTTTCCGACAAACACGCAGTCAAACAGCCTATCGTTCGATGTGGCACGTAAGGCGCACCCTGACTGCCACAGCCATGTTGCCGGTCTCGAATTCCATACCAGTGGACGACATCGAGCCCGTGCGCAACAAGACATGGAGTGCAGCAAAGGAAGGGAACGTGGTTTCGAATGTGGTGGAGGCATCGCCAAGGGATCATGCAAGGAGTTCGATAGAGACAGCTGGCAGCACAGAGCACGCGCTGAAATTCACCACCAGGGTTCACACTGCCTTCCCTACCCTTTTGTTTGTATACTTACATGAACCGTTGCTGCCGCTGATGTCGCCACTCGGAATTATCCTGAACCAGGTGATCGAAACGACAGCAACAGTCACGTGGTACAAGGGTCAGCCATAGGGTAGCGCTTTGGACGCGTCGCAAGCTCTGACGAATATTTTCCAAATCCTCGGACACGCTTATACGTGTGATTTATCGTTTTGCCCGCGTAGACACCGTAACCATTCCACGGATGTCCATGCCAAGCATCGATTGGGCGGACACAAAGCAACACAGGACGAATCTACGCAAATCGCTCAGCAATGCAAACACGTCAGTTATGTCAATTCCTGTCTCTCACGGGCGGGGGGTCAGTTTCCGATTTCAACGTCACCGTTGCTGTAGCTTTGGCCACCCCCTCGACTTTTACCGCCGCTCTACCCGCTGCTGGTCTTGCGGCAGCTCTTGCTTTGATTGCTAAGGATGACACCGCCGCCGCCCTCGCTGTGGTGGCGGCTGCCATTGCTTCCTCCGCCGCCTTCAAGACAGAAAGTGCCACCGTCTTCGCCGTGCCGGCTGCTCGAGATACCCTTGATGTTGCTAGGGATAGGGGGAGAACGCCAACGCCAGTCGTACGAGCCGCGAATTCTTCATTGACAGCATGAAGGCTGGCGAACGCGAGCCTAAGCTTCTCCGAAGTGTCTGTCAATCGTTCTCTTGCCGCCTCCATATCGCGTCGACCTGCCTGCAGTGAGAGCGACGGCGGGGATGCAAGGGAGGAGAGAGGGGCACATCAACTGGGGGGGGAGGCGAGAAGGAAGCATACATCGCTTCGAATTAATTAGCCCTAATTTGCCAAGGGCGACATTTCCAGTACGGTAATGTACCACTCACCGGTCGTGCACCAAGATGGTGTGGAAACGAAAGGCGGCCCCCTAACAGACCGGAGGAGTAGCCTCTTCAACGGGGGGGCAGTGTTCAAGAAACGCGGGCCACCAAAACCCCGTTTCATGGGTAGGGAGAAATAACGTTTCGGAAGGAGCTCTTGGCACGCCTGTTGTCGGCTTTTGCTTTCGCCGCTTGCTGTTGCCTCCTGCGCTGGCGTAATTCTCGCGCACTACGTTGAATCTACCGCAATCGTGCACAGAAGCGCGACCGGCACACGAAAATAAGCACAACCCCATCCACCCTGTACCAGATACCCCCCCACCAGATGTCTAACGCTTGACGTCTTGAAATCCGCTGTCGGTCAGCATCAAACTCCTCTCGTCTACAAGTGTTGGTGAAAGGTGTATCAAACATTGGGTAGTGGCTCTCTCAGGGTGCCTTGATAAAACCAACCACGGTTTCCACGGGAAAGTCACTCACCAAGGGGGAGGGCAAGATACGGCCGTGGGGGGATCCCGACTGTCCTCGATCTGCTGGAGACTACCACGCTGCAGGAGCAGGAGGAGGGACCGTGATAGGACGGCTTGCTTGGTTGGGGTTGTGCCTGGGTTCGCTCATGCGATTGTGGGGCCACGAATGCCACCCCAACCAAAAGAAGCGAGAGCAAGGTATGGTTGTCTGACGGATGTGTCGTCGGATGAGTTGCCCTGGTAAAGTTCTCTCTCGCCTGGCTGTGGGGAAACGGCAGAGCAGACGCAGCTGCTCAGGGAACTGAGAGAAACACGCCTTCCCTCATTTCTTGGGTCTGGTTGGACCGGCGACCCCCGCCCAATCAGTGCCAGGTACCTCGTTCGTTACATGGATACCGGGGGGAGGCCTGAAAATCGTTCGCGTCGGCCTACGCACCTCCGTGTCTCTCAAAAACCCGTGCCAAAGCAACAACGTCCCCCCAGGCTGGCGTCACCCTCTGGTAGGTTTTGATTTGACATTGACCATACTGTTCAGCCTTGTGGTCGGAACATTGGTCGGAAAACACAAAAACGGGCTTTGACTCGACACCACGGGAGCCGGTAAACGATACCTGCCAGTCTCGTTTTTTATACGCGATCCCGGGGACAAAACATGCCCATCCCCGGGGTATCGTATAAAAAACGAGACCCCGGGGACAAAATGATCACATCCCCGGGGTCTCGTTTACTAAACGAGACCCCCGGGGACAGGACAGAACCATCCCCGGTGTTTCCACCCCCAGAATTATGGCTCTCCCGCACGCAGCTCGCAGCTGGGCGGGGCGCCGTGCACCAGACAACCACTTCGCTGTGTTTTAGGGCCTTTGAGACCTCAAGTAGGTGAAGAGCGTTTGGTAGATACAACCACTTCGCTGTGTTTTGAGACCTCACGTAGGTAGGGAGCCTTTGGTGGATAGCAGTAGGACAGTGCCCGAGGGCAAGGCCGTGCTGCTTGCTGATCGGGAGTCCCGCTGCGGAAGATGTAGGTGCTGTACAAACAGCTTCAGCGGAGAAGAACATGTTGTTGCAGTTCGAACACACAGACAGCACACAGACAGAGCAAATTAGGACGGGATAGTTTCGTGACTGCGCACGAACAAGCTTGACGCGTATGTGGAAGACCATGGGTGGTTGAAGCTTCCACGCGCTTCGCCTGGAGCGAATGGTAGATAGATAGAGTGTCCGGTGGGCGCGACTACATACAGCAGTACATCAGCCAAGATCCATTACAATAGTCTACATGTACCTTCCAATAACATTTTTTGGTCTATGGTCTACTACTACGTCGTTTGTTTGTATCCATATGTAACTATACTGCACATACTACGTCATGTCATGCACATGTATGTAGACTATACATACAACAACAAAGAGGTTTGCGTTCCTTCGTTGTAGATATGATCATTTTGTCCCCGGGGTATCGTATAAAAAACGAGACCCCGGGGATGGGCATGTTTTGTCCCCGGGGTCGCGTATAGAAAACGAGACTGGCAGGTCTCGTTTACCGGCTCCCCGACACGACTACATGTATGTATCGACGGTTGGTTTTCGAACCACCACACGCGACAGTGATCAATAGCGACTACGTAGTAGATCGGGAGGGGTCTGCTCTGTGTTGAGATTAAGTTCATGCGCCACATCACCACCACACAATAAGCAAATTGGCAACGGCCGGTGGTGTATTTTGTAAATGAGAACATGCAATAGCAGCTAGCTGCGGTAGTCTACAACATGTCTGCACTACGTTATTTTTAGTCTTCACTACGTTACAATTTCTTACACAGCACAGTACATGATCTACTACTGTGCCAACTGTGCCCTTTTTTCGTTTGAAAGGGTGTCCTCTTTGTTTGCCTTTCACATCAAATGCTCTCCACATAATCCTGGCTCGTGGGCGTGTTGTTGGTTGTCGATCGGTGTTATGGTGTATGTATGTATGTACTACTGTACCCCATGTTGTGTTCAATCGCTCTCTTTCCCATTTTCCCCCTGTTCATGGGTTTTCTCTTTCACTTTCCTGTTTTACCTTTGCTGCAGCTTGAGTTAAATGATGTTTCCTCCGCAGGAAGACTACACCGGCTTGGGGTTTTGGAAGTAAGTTTGTTTTCGGTGAGCTAAAAATACTAGGGTTAAGGATTGGCTCCCCGCCCCCCAATGGGGCTGGGGGCCAACATCCAGGACGGATGGTGGTGAGTGTCCGGGAGGAAGGAAAGAGGAAGAAGAAGGGTTGTCCGGATCCCTCTATGAGCTTGCTACGGGGAGAAGATTTCTAGGGGCGGGAAGAAGGGACGGTGTTGGGAGAGGCAAGGAAGTGGTGAAGAATTTCGGCACTCAACGAGCGCGCGGTCCCGTCGGGGGTGAAAGGGACATGTCAGTCCGTAGTCTTGTCTATCGGAATCGAAAAGGCGAAAAAACGAGGTATACATTAGACCCATGTTTATGGTCGCCAAATCTTTGCGAAAATGTTTATATTTTCAAACATTTGCGGACAAAGATTTTGTTTCACTGTTTATGGGAGAAAATCTTCGCCAAAATATTCTCAAACATTTTGAAATGGGGCAAAAGTCGCTCGTTTGACAAAATATTCTCAAACATTTTGAAATGGGGCAGGTCGCGAAAATGTTTCCCAAGAGCGGCGGGATTAGTAGACGACCGCCCCTTCCGTCCTAAACACCAACCACTGCGTAGCGCACACTCAACGTAGCAAGCTCATAGAGGGATCCGGACAACCCTAGAGTCACCGTGTCAATGTTTTGCCGGCTGATACATGGCGGGAGCTCGTCAAGCGTGCACAAAAAAACAAACAGACAGGGGTGGTTTGGAGGGCACGGAGCGTGGTTTGTGTCTCCAAACGGCAAAAAGTCGGCTGCTTGAGAGGAGAGGTGAGTACAAAACTATCCAGCTCTCGTCCTCTAGACCATCGATTCATGTTTTGTCTTCTTGGGTGTCTTCTCCATCAACGGCTCTCATCCGGGTGTGCGTGGTTCAGCAGTGGACTTACTCAACAGGCAGGGAGGCGCGTCGCTGTGAACTCGATGTGTTGAAAAAGTCTTTTTTGGGACGGAGGAACGACGACTCTATATTCAAGTGAAAAAAAAGACAGAAAAAAACGTTGTGTCCACAACTTTGCGCGCATAACGACGTGCCTCCCTGCCGGCTGAGCGCGGCCACCGCCAACCCACGCACAACCGGATGAGAGCCGTTGATGGAGAAGACACCCAAGAAGACAAAACATGAATCGATGGTCTAGAGGACGAGAGCTGGATAGTTTTGTACTCACGTGTCCTCTCAAGCGGTCGACTTTTTGCCGTTGGGAAGCGCTGACGCACGTTTTGGTCTCTTTTTGACACCGAGAACATTTTTTCTCGCGCGCCCGGAGCGCTATCGCCACATATTGGCGGGCACAGCATCAGCTCAGTGCATCAAGGGTTGTGGGGAGCCCTTTGCGAGCTCGTTACATTCGGTTTCCATGACGCATTTGTGGTTTGTCTGTCACAAATCGTTTGGTAGCAGTAGACCACGATTCCCGCCGCACGTGCGATGCATTTCGAGAAACCACACGATAAAGATTTTTTTGCCCATAAAAACGGTACTCAAATGTTCCTCTGGTAGATATTCGCGCGCAAATGTTTGATAACATTTGAAGATTTTTTTCAAAGATTTGGCGACCATAAACATGGGTCTTATGTATATCACGATGGAGAAGGCCGACGAGGAAGGTACGAAGAGAGAGGGAATTGCACCCCACGTTCGAAGTTGGTGTGAAAACCGCCGCAAGGAAGGAGTGCAAAGGGAACAAAAAAAAAAAGAGACATCGACGTTTGCGTCGTGGAACGATTCTCTTTTCTTCCTGTTTCCTTTTATTTTTTTCTCTCTTTCTCTTTTTCTCTTTGTCGCTCTTTTTCTCTCTTTTTCTGGGTCAGATTGCCTTGTCTCTGCTTGCGTGTGAAGCACCAAGATTGAACCAAGGGGGCGTACCTCTTTCTCTCTGGCCCGTGATGATGCTGACTCCTAGTCTCAGTTGTTGCCTCGCATAGCGCGCAGCGGAGGACTTCAGAATATCTGTCGTTAATTTCTATTGACTTACTTGCGGACCCCGGGGCCAGTTTGTTTGAGCGTATCTTTTTAGGGTAAGTTAGCCTGTGACCACGGGAATCGACCGCGTCAAGTGTTGGATCAGTGCCGACATATGAAGGTACTGGATAGAGAGAGATCGGAACGGTTTTATTGGGAAGACGACAACAACAACAACAACAATGATGAAGGTACAGTAGACCCGTCCTGCGTCGTTCGGTGTAAATGCGAAAGATGGACTGCGTAAAGATCCAGCGGTCTTTTTCAGCAGTGGCAAAGAAATATGCAACCACACGTCGCAAAAAAAAAAAAAAGTTGAGCGGGATGCTGTAGTAGTAAATAGAACACCGCCTTCTCTGTTGTTGCAGGCAGGTTTGCTTCCACAACCCGGGAACCCAACCCACTCTTGTATTTCGGTCTACAAGACTCCAATCGACGCAAGCACCGGTAGGAGAGTGCGTGGAAGATGCCGTGACAGCACAACTCCACTCTCCTACGACATCGATGTACAGTTGTACTGCTGTCGTTGTAGCACCATGTGGAAGATCTCCGAGGGGTCCTCCTGCGCGGTAACGACAACATGGCGAGAGCTAGCTCTACTTGTACCTGTCGTCGACACATGTCGCAGCCGCACGACACACGAACGGATAATTGCATCGCATGGTACTTTGGTTCGCCGTGGCAGGAAGTATCCCATCCAATTCGGTCGTTGC